AAAACCCATATCTGCCGTGAAACTGATCGCAGGCATTTCATATCCGGTAAGCTTTTTGAATGCTAGATACGCGTTGTGCATCATGTCCCATAACTCGGTGGCTTGTCTAAGAAGGGCCTCGAAATTTGAATTATACGAATCAAAAATCATCTCATCGGTGCCACGCAAAGAGGTTGCGGCCATGATTGTGGCCATTGTATGATATAGACGCAGAAGTGGTGTACGATACATTTTCCGCGGGGTGAGATTTGCAAGTAATCCTCTCTGGCTGGAATTAAAAGCCTGTAGCCATCGTATCAGGGCGATGTCGAGTTCCTCTTTCCATCGATATAACTGCTTTGAGACCTGGCTCTGATTGTGAAGGACATTCCTACCCTGCTGTGTTAGATTATAGACGCCGTTGATGAGAGAATCAAGATGTTTTCGAGCTTCAGTATGATTCTGGAAATTTGAGGGAATATTGTATTTTGGTCCGTCTGGTGCGCGTTCACTAACAAAAATGTGATGGTTTGATACTTGACCGAAAAGCATTGCCTGGATATTAAGTCGAGAAAACACTTCAACTAACGCGTCTTCGACGGACTCAGGATGCGTCCGCAAAACAATAGGACCATCCAACGATGTGATGCCCTGACGTGTTTGGATTTCTCGAAGGAGTTGCATACCATTGCTCAAGTGCGCATGCCCGGTTTTGAAGCCTCCTCTCAGTAACTCAAGACAGGCGAAGATCATGCATGTTATCAGCGACACCCGGAGTGCGTCATTGTCGAGACGATTTAGATGTCGACGAAGGTGTTGTATTGCCTGGTTATATTCCACCAGAGAGATTGCCTCCTCATTCTTATGTGCTGCACCAAGAGCAGTTGCCGCATGTAGAACAGCAGGGTCTTCAACGCAAGCTTGGAATACCAGCGAATTCCAGAAGCCGGATTCAAAGACCCCAGGCAATTTGTTGACAGTATACTTGCGAAAGTATTCAAATCCGATACTGCAGGGTTTCCCAGAAACCCCTTGAAGTTGAGGGAGCACAATGGTGTTTGAAAGCGCACTGGCTCGCTTGTCTTTCAGCTTGCTGGGGGCTTTGCTAATACTGTCCCAGATTCCGTAGCCATCGCATACACGACCCGTTGAGAGACATCTTTCACAAGACGGTCTTGCCTCATCACATTTTACTCGACGTTTTCTTTTTTTCGGTTCGTCAGTTGGACGAACTGTGACCGAATAGCGGGAATAAATTATGGTGGACGGGACGCGTACTTGCAAGTGAGACAGCCAGTTTTTACCTTGCGGCGATTCTGGGGCTTATTAGTTCTCGGACCTTTAGGCGCTTCCATCACGCTCCACAAACTGATCTGATTCAGGGGATTGCAATACTCTATGAAAATAACCGAAGGCAGAATCAACCGAAAACAACAATGAGAAAAAATTTGAAATGAAAAGGAATATTTCTGGAGAATCACAAGTTGCTGAGATGTTCGCCTCTAAGATGCCAAAGTAACGAGATAGGCGATCCCCATACCAAACCGTTAAAAGATTATCCACTGGTTGCTTCGGATCATTCGCCTTATGATTGGCCGGAACTGTATCAATCCAGCACTAGTCCTCTCCAGACCCTCCTCGCTTTTTGTTGACGGCCGGAGTTACACGTAGCCCCGGTCGCCAATCGGCGCCAGATCTTACCGGGAATATTCCTCATCCAGTCAAGATACTGGAAACGGTATTTAGCTGGATTTTTTTTGATGCGATTCTTTTGTTAAAGCCGTCTCTTAAGATATGTGAATGATATACTCGTTTAACCGGTATATGAGCCATATAAATTAGACGCAACTCTCTATATGACCTGGTGCTCTGAAATGACATATCACGACTCTCGTGAAGGGCTTCTATAAAGTCAGTAGTTATATAAATAGCTTGACAGCCTTGATGTACTTTATAATTACTGATATACTGCATAGAAACTGATCTTGTGTGGCTGCAATAACGCTTGAAAAAAATATATGCAACTAAGGCGTAGCTGACTGCTTTTTTACACCACAAAAGCTGTTCTCGGATCTATATTCCAATTACAGATCATGAAGAACAGTATCTGTGCTTTTTTAGCCACTTCCTTCGACGACGTAATCTTCCCACTAACCGGTGGTACTGCCAAAGATCGTACGCTGTACAATTTCTCATCTGAAAACAACGAAAGCTGTAAAATGAGGAAATCAACCGGAGCGGACTTACTGTCTTTATAGAATAGAGACACTATTTGTATCATTTCTTTGGATCCTTAATCATGGAAAGCGTGGGTTTTGGTGGAGGTCTTCCTGCGGCGGCTGCTTTCACAGAGAGTCTCTGAAAGTAATCTGCTGCACAACAAGCGACATCATTATTTAACTCAGAGACGCCATCTGGATACCATATAGACTAATGCAGGATAAACGCTCGATTAGGATATCTTATAATTGAATCATTGCGACTCACAGAGTCGCCATGTTGCGCATTGAAAAAGACACTGTTGGTGCACTGGGAGGCAGACGAACTTCATATATGGGGGGTGGACGTCCGATATCCCATGTTCCAATTTTGATACGTAGTGAGGAGATCAGATCCCAGAAAAATACAAGCAATATCGTCAGAAGACACTTGAAGAGTACCTTGTAGATAGAAGGCGCATCCTCTGCGAATGTTTACGACTGTTGAACCCCATGTTGCCACTTGGTTATTGGATAACCAACCACTCTCCATATCCATCTATACATCTAATCTCAATAAACCATTATGTAACCGCAAGTTGTCAAATTAATCTTTAGTCAACAACGTCAAGGGCTCACGGCTAACCGGTATTCGCGACATCCGGATGGAACCAGAAAGAGCACAAAAGAATGGCAAAAGATGTGCCAAGAGGATAAAACTCTGATGGCGGGATGAAACACGAGTTTTTCTAGCTCTGGGCATGTCACCTTCCGGATTGGAAGCTGGTGAGCATTCCACTAGAAGGAAACATTAAGAGTCATCCAGTATATGAGTTGTATCTGTGTCGTTGTTTGCTGTTTTTACTTGTGAACTGGCGGTAGGGCAGGCATTTCAGATATGATGAAATTTTAAATGCTGCAATGGCTCTGCGAACAAACTATAATGGAGCCAAACGGTAGAGATGATTTTTGTATAAAGTATTCTGAGCTGTTGCTGTAGTGTGAGGTGAGCATGCTTTGAGGAGCTGTATCCACACCATGTGAGAAGCTGCCCTATCGAGATGACGTGGGAGGGCGCTCCAAGTTTTATGCTACATTTACGGATGACCGCTTTGGATAGGCTAAACAACCAACATGAAGAAAGTCCGAGCTACCTTGTACTAATTTATCCTTTCTTGGGGGCCGTTATCATGTTGTATCAGCTAGTTTTCCAACTGGTGCGTAGACAACTTGAAGCTGGGAGACTTTAAAAAGCCTCGACATCAAGTAGTGATGGCGACTCGGACCATCTTAAGACCCAATGGCATAATACTGAAGAGATTTGGGCTAAATGTTTGCCACGAGGTTAAAAAAAAAAAAAGGAATTCTTCACAGACGCCGATTCTCAAGTTTGCAGACACCGCGTTGAGACCAGGCCATGCACTCCGAAGCCACTGCCGGCCAGTGTCCGATCCGGCAAGTCGTTCCGAAAATTCTAGCGCAGTACCGTCTCTGTCCTAGACCCCAAAACAGCTCGACCGTAAATCTTTTCACAAGCCGGCGTGTGCGCCTCTTGTCTGCACTCTGTGAACGGTCATGTTGGTACGGATGTGAATGCATCAACAGTGTGGGCGGGGCCCTATTGATCTTCAGGGACCATGTTCCTTGTTCCGCGCCAGTATCGGCGATCCCGGCTTGCTCGGGTCCTCACCGGCTAACCCTTTGACTTGTGCAAACTCTGCGAGGGAGAAATCTAAGTGGCCAATGGCAGATCCGGGAAATGGGGCCAATAAGTAGGGGAAATCTATCCGCCAAAGCATTTCGAGGCAGGCCAGCTGTCGGGAACTCCCTCTCCACGTTGCAAGAAGCCGGGATGCATTGGTTCATGCCTCTGTCTCCCCTAGGGATGCAGGCCAGCTCGTTGCGTAGTCAGCTTAACCTCTTCTGAGTCGAGCCGCACATCCAAATCTCACCTCCATTTCTTCCTATTGGCAGCCAAGCGAGCCCTTGGGCTGTCAAACTGCGGACATAAAATTTCTCGCACCTAAAACAAATGCGCTCTTGATTCATGGTTGGGTGCCACCAGAATGGTGTCATTCAGACCATGCGTGGCGTTGCACGCTAAAGCGGGATCCGTTGTCGCCCTGGTCTTCTCCAAAGATGACCGCTGGAAGTAGCGCGGGGCAAAATCTTGAGAAATCCCGATGAATAATGGGAAAAGCCGTATTATCTGTAAGATTCTCCAAGGGTCCAAAAGGGTCTCTCCGAGGCCATCTGAAGAATCAGTACGTAGCAGAAAGTCTAATTCCAGCTGATTGGAATCTCATATAAAGAGTTCTGGCATGCCAATGGCCACCGTTTCGTGTCCTGTGCGTCGCACTTTGTACTGTAGAAGGATTGCTGGCGCAGATCCGGTATTGCGAAATTTGAACCACGGTCCACCTCATTAAGTACCAGTCACGCAATCGATCTTGGTACTCGATATAGTAGGTACGCATCTGCCTCTGGGTCCATAACCCCACGACTCGTGGCATCATTGAGTAAGATATCTCGTGATTGCTCCTGTTCAACCGCCTAGCTTAGCCGCCGTTGGGAGCTGAGACGAGTTCCTCTGCGAAGTCCGGGCGGTGTACAGACGGCTCGGCGTTGTGTCACATCCAGCCAGCCACTGCAAAATAAATACTCTTTTGGCCTCCCATCCATCTTCAACCCTTTTCTTCCCCCTTTCTGTCTTTATTCTTCCCCAGAAAAGCGAATTGGTTCGATAAAAGTCGGATTGTATCCTCCCACGCAGACGATTTTCTCTCTGGAACACAATCCTCAGTATATCCATAATCAATCATCATGGCCGCTTCAGTCGAGTTGGTGCAGCCTCTGGACGTGGCCTCATTGCCCAAGGAGGCCACCCCTGTTCTGGAATTGAACCCTATTGACGAAGAGAGGTTCATCGTCAAGTCGCCATACACAGATAAGGAGCATCTGCTTGACCTGGATACCCTTTCTCATGAAGGCGCCATAGTGGCGAGGGCTTTGCAAACCTTCAAGTCAATTCGCGATGACTATGCCACTGCACCCTATGTCGAATCATTCAACTGGCCTGAAGTCCTCGATGAGGTGAAGCGCTTGGCTCAGCAATCCGGAAGGCCGTTCAAGGAGATTTCTTTCTACATTGTCGCATTCCGGTCGCAGATCAAGCCGAGCACCCATTATGGCGACCTTGGCGTGTTGGATAAGGCTTCTCATGCTGAAGCCGTTGCCAGTGGAGGCTTCTTGAAGTAAGAGAGAGACGCCCGCGTGCTTCGCCGCTCACTTTGACGTCGCGCTAACCGAATGAAACAGATATTGGTTTGGTTCGCCTGATCCTGAACTCAGAAATCTGGCAACCTGCGTTTGGAGATCGAGAGAGGACGCAATGGTCGGTGGTAGAGGACCAGCGCACCGCAAGGCAGTCGGCGCCACCCGAAACTTGTATGCTTTCTGGAAGATTGACCAGCACCGACTCACCATCCGCGACAATGTGGACGACTGGGTGATTGAGGACTGGGAGTGAACTAATGGGCATTTGACATCTAGCTAAGCAACTTTGCTTGGCTGCCCAGTCTTAACTTTTGAGAGAGCGAGACAAGGACGATGTTTTTTTTTTTTTTTTGGAACGAAACGAAGGGACTTTGGAGCATTCTGGGATATGTTTGGGATTGAAAAGCGTCATTGCCGGGAGTGCAATTTTTTCTTTATGTATGATATCATGAGGGGCAAGCGAGCATTGTGTTGGGATTTCAAAACAAGAAAGAAGCAATTGGAGGATAGAGTAGAAATAGATTGAAGTAATACTTGCATGACTTGACAAAAAGAAAGCGATTTGCAGTGAGGCGCGAGACGCGAGACGCGCCGGCACAGCCATGGCATCAGGACTCCCGAATGCTTGGTTAAGGCATGTTGGTTTCTGAACGTTTGTGAGATGTAAATCTTGATGTATTCGTCTACTTATGGCTATTTCTAGAGTGTCGCAAAAGTCATTTCGAAAGGCGGCGAATCCCGTGTGATGCTGGAAATGTCGCAAGATAAGGTTGGAGGACGCAAAAGGTTGGCGGTTTGGCGGCGTATTTGGCCCCCTCAAATTCTGCCGCCGTCCACCGCCCCGAACCCACAACGCCCACAAATCTGGTAGGCGAAAAGTTCGATATTCCCAACACCAAGAGCGAGCGCTCCTGAAGCTCATCATCCAGCGACTCTCGGCGTCAACCTCGGCTCGTCACCCGCCCATTTCTCTCCGTCTCGCCTCCCAGAACCTCCCAAAATGAGCGAAGCTCCGAAAGATGCGCCTTTCCAGGCGGTGCAGGTCGATGCTCTGGTGAGTTGCAGCTCGCATTGCCCCACCTTGCCTCGACGAAGACGATGATGATCCAAGGACTGACGCCTAGCAAAGGTCATTCTGAAAATCGCCAGACACTGCTCGTCGACCTTCCCGACCGTGGCCACCGGCTCCCTCGTGGGAATGGACCAGAACGGCACCCTGGAGATCACAAACACCTTCGCCTTCCCCACCGTCGACAACTCCGCCGCCGACACCCACCAGAACGATGCCACAAACGCTGCTGCCGCGGCACCCCGCGCAAAGGCAAACATTACCTACCAGGGCGAGATGATCCGACACCTGAAGGAGGTCAATGTGGATGCCAACAACGTCGGATGGTACACAAGCGCAACCATGGGCAACTTTGTCAACCTTGCCTTTATCGAGAACCAGTTCCACTACCAGAAGGACAACGAAAAGACCATTGCCCTGGTGTATGATACCAGCCGCAGCTCACAGGGAACCTTGGCTCTCAAGGCCTACCGCCTGACCAACCTCTTCATGACTGTTTACAAGGAGGGCAAGTTTACTACTGAGAGGTGAGTCGGTTTGTGGAAGGAACGCGGGAATTCGGTATTGGTGGTTTGGATATACATGCTGACGTGTTTTTGAAATAGCCTGCAAAAGTCCAAGCTCTCGTTCCGCGACATTCTCCAGGAGTACCCTCTCAACGTCTACAACTCACACCTCCTCACCTCCTTCCTCCACCAGCTGCCCTCGCCCGCGGTCGCCGCCGAGGCCAAGGAGCCAACCCTCAGCGAGCTCAACAACGACCGCATCAAAGCTCCTCTATACCCTTCCATCGACAACCTGGACCTGTCTGTCGACCCCTTCCTTGAGAAGACCTGCGACCTCCTGCTCGAGAGCATCGAGTCCCACTACGTGGACCTCAACAACTTTCAGTTCTACCAACGCCAGCTGGCGCGTGAGCAGACCAAGATCACACAATGGCAGGCCAAGCGAAAGGCGGAGAATGCGCAGCGCACTCTTGCCAAGCAGGCCCCGCTACCGGAAGACGAGTGGCAGCGGCTGTTCAAGCTGCCTCAGGAGCCCAGCCGGCTTGAGGGCATGCTCAACGCCAAGCAGGTTGAGCAGTACAGCAAGCAGGTGGACGGATTCACGGCCAACATCAGCGCAAAGATGTTTGCCGTTCGGGAAAACTTGCTGCCTCAGTAAGCGGATTTGAGCTCAAGTTAAAAAAACTCTTGTAAAGGTCTTTAGTGGGGTGAGGCAATTGGCGGCAGGGTGCATTGACGGCGTTCCGGTTTGGGTGGAATATAATAAAGTACTTCTGGTCTAGATCTGCAGCGACAAGAGAGTCATAAAAAAGAAGTGTTTGAAATGAAGGATTTCTACGGCTTCGACTTGTATTTTGCTGTTGAGGTAGATACCACTGTGAACTTTTTTTCTTCTTTACCTAGGTAATTTTTTCTTTCTTCTGCCATATCTTGACTGCTTGCTGGTGTGCCATACTAGCAAACGGTTTATCTCTCGCCCTTTGGCTTCATATCTATTGCAATTGATCACCTCGCCTTTTCTTGGACCTTCCTGATTGCTTATAACGAAATTCGGGGCTTTTCCCCCTGGGCCTGTTGCTGATACGCAGGATGCATGCGGGGAATCCTGAAGGGGAAAAGCACCGATAGGGGACCAGCAGGATGCGGCAGAAGGACGAAATATCGCCGTAACAGTAAGTAAGACAGGACACACGGCGATTAGGCCGACTGAGTGAGGCCCAAGGAATCAAGTAAGTATATACGAGTACGAGAGCGAGAGATTCTGTTAGTGCTAGTAGTTGAATTTTGGTCGGCCCATCGGCGTCTGCCTGTCTGTATGAGGTATGTACGTATATACGTGTATTTTGTTGATTTGCTCCCCATTGAGTCGAGAGCCTAAAGAAATGCAGAAATGCAGATGAATCTTCATCCCCCTGATGCCCAAATAATATACCCGGGCTGTTCTCTGCCTGTCCATGTCCCATCCCAATCCATCCATCCAGCGTCACCACAGTCTGACATCTGACAGGCCTTGACAGGCTCAATGCCCATAATCACCGCAGAATCCCAGCATCCTGCGTATCAACCCCCCGGCTCCTGGTGAGACGTGGCCCGGCCTGGCTTCGCTTTTTTGCATGTGCAAGCAAGTCGGTGCCATTGGGATCCCCAACAACCATAAGCCGTCAAGTGTGCAGTCCAGCCGCCCTTCTCATTCGCTCCTCGAAAAATCGAAATCCATCCGAATCTAATCTGCCCCGCTTGGTGAGAAATTTTGCCCCTCTAAACACACCGCCCGCTTTTCAACGGGTTTCCCCTCCTCGGCCGCTGCTTGTAACTTCTTTTTATTTGGGCACATCCCACTCGATTTTTCTTCTTCTTCTACCTCTCTGCTCTCTCCATCCCGCACCTCAATTCCTCCTCCCACGTCCTTTTTATCTTTTATTCATCAGTCCTTGAGCCTCTTCTTCAGCTCAATTCCTTCATCATGTCTGCCCCCGCCCACAAGTTCAAGGTCGCCGACCTGTCCCTGGCCGCCTTTGGCCGCAGGGAAATTGATCTCGCTGAGAACGAGATGCCCGGTCTGATGGCCATCCGCAAGAAGTATGCCGCCGACCAGCCTCTCGCCGGTGCCCGCATTGCTGGCTGCCTGCACATGACCATCCAGACTGCCGTCCTGATCGAGACCCTCGTCGCCCTTGGTGCTGAGGTCACCTGGACCAGCTGCAACATCTTCAGCACCCAGGACCACGCCGCCGCTGCCATTGCCGCCGCTGGTGTCCCCGTCTTCGCCTGGAAGGGCGAGTCCGAGGAGGAGTACAACTGGTGTCTCGAGCAGCAGCTCGTTGCCTTCAAGGACGGCAAGAAGCTGAACCTGATCCTCGACGACGGTGGTGACCTGACCTCTCTGGTCCACACCAAGTACCCCGAGCAGCTCAAGGACTGCTACGGTGTCTCTGAGGAGACCACCACTGGTGTCCACCACCTGTACCGCATGCTCAAGGACGGCAAGCTGCTGGTCCCTGCCATCAACGTCAACGACTCCGTCACCAAGTCCAAGTTCGACAACTTGTACGGCTGCCGTGAGTCCCTCATTGACGGTATCAAGCGTGCCACCGATGTCATGATTGCTGGCAAGGTTGCCGTTGTTGCTGGATTCGGAGATGTCGGCAAGGGCTGCGCCATGGCTCTCCACGGCATGGGTGCCCGTGTCATCGTTACCGAGATCGACCCCATCAACGCTCTCCAGGCTGCCATGGCCGGCTACCAGGTCACCACCATGGAGAAGGCTGCCCCTATCGGCCAGATCTTCGTCACCACCACTGGCTGCCGTGACATTCTGACTGGTGCTCACTTCGAGGCCATGCCCAACGACGCCATTGTTTGCAGTAAGTTTAAACCAGTATCCCATGATTTGCCTCATTTTTTGCATGTGAGCTAACAGCCGCAACCAGACATTGGCCACTTCGACATTGAGATCGATGTTGCTTGGCTCAAGGCCAACGCCAAGTCTGTCCAGAACATCAAGCCCCAGGTCGACCGATTCACCATGGCCAGCGGCCGCCACATCATCCTCCTGGCTGAGGGTCGTCTGGTCAACCTTGGCTGTGCTACCGGCCACTCTTCTTTCGTCATGTCCTGCTCCTTCTCCAACCAGGTCCTTGCCCAGATTGCTCTGTACAAGGCCGAGGACAAGGCTTGGTCTGAGAAGTACGTCGAGTTCGGCACCACTGGCAAGCTCGATGTTGGCGTCTTCGTTCTCCCCAAGATTCTGGATGAGGAGGTTGCCAAGCTGCACCTGGCCCACGTCCAGGCTGAGCTGACCACCCTCTCCCCCGTCCAGGCTGAGTACCTTGGCCTTCCCGTCGAGGGCCCCTTCAAGGCTGAGATGTAAGCATGCCTCCTATCCATGATTGACATTAAAACCGAACATGTACTGACCAAATTTCTTTTTTTACAGCTACCGCTACTAAGCACCTTTCATGTATTCATACATACCCCCAAGGATCCTTCAACTGGACTCCTACGTGTAACGACATTTCATCCGGGTCAATCATCCGGTCAATGGGAACACTTGTGATTTCAACAGCATCATGAACTGGCAGGGGGGCATATATATGGGCAGGGAAAATATAAAAGCCCATCGGTTTTGGTTTTGGTTTTTTTTTTATGATTTGATTTTCATCCCCCTTTTCTTCTTTCCTCAAAAGACTTGGGGTTTTTCTCGCTGGGCGGATGGGGCAGAAAAGAATATGGCCTTTTCAACAAAAACGGCGTCGGGTAAATTTATTTTTGCTAATGATGATTCCCCCCAATGGCGAGACAAACGTGATACAACAAAGATTATGAGACGGGAGAGGCGCTCAGAGATTTGGGCGGATTTTGAGGAAGCCCGTCAACCGCGGCTGCAGTGGATGGACATAGCAATTAGAAAAAATGAAAATGGCGGGCAAAGATTTTTTGTCCCTTGTCTGGGCAAAGCAGTGTTTCCATGGTTTGCAAGTGAATGAGTGAATGAATGCTTATGTATGATCTTATCCTCCGTACTGATTTGGTCATATGTACGTGGACTTATTAATTTGGGTTCTTGTCTGTGTAATTAGTATCTGAAAATATCGTAGGACTCACTCAGGGCGGTTGAGCTATTGGCATTACAGCAATTCTCTATCATCTCATCATTCATATCACATTTCTGGTCAAAACTTTAGTCTTTAGATCAAGCTTTTTATTTCCTTCTTCTAATTCTATAAACATGACATGACGCATTTTCAACAATCCGACACAATATCAAACCTCACAGCTTCGAGCTCCTCCCTCCAGCACCGCCATGCAGTCACGCAGCCAACCCCGTCTGCTCAGGCACAATACTCTTAAGCTTCCCCTCCTTAACCGCCAGCCTCACATTATCAATGGTCCACTCCTCCATCTTCTGCTGTGTCTCCTGGGTCCAGGTGCCCATGTGGGGGACGAGCAGGACGTTTGGGTTTTCGAGCAGGCCCGGGTGGATCTCGGGCTCGTTCTCGTAGACGTCGAGGCCGACGGAGGAGACCTTGCCGGAGGCGAGGGCGTCGACGAGGGCGGCCTCGTCCATGACTGCGCCGCGGGCGGTGTTTACGATGACGATGCCGGGCTTCATGAGGGCGAATTGGGGGGCGGCGATGGTGTGGCGGGTGCTGGGCTGTGAAGGGGGTGTTAGCTTGTAGATTCTTGAGGGTTGTTGTTGCTCTTAGAAGAAGTGATATTCGCAAGATAAGGGAGTAGAACTTACGTTGAGAGGCAGGTTCAGACTCAGGACGTCACTCTCCGCCAGCAACGTCTCAAGACTAACATACTCAGCACCATCCTCCAGCTCAGGGCTCAAGCGCGAGCGATTGTGGTATCGGATACGCATTCCAAAGGCCCTAGCCTTGGTAGCGACGTTGCGGCCAATGCCGCCCATGCCCAAGATTCCCAGGATCTTGCCCTGGGGGTCGTGGCCCAGCGCGGGAGGGGGCGAGCCGCGCCACTTGCCGGCTCGCAGGGCTTGGATGCCGATGGGGAGGTTGCGCAGGGCGCCGATGAGCAGCCAGATGGTGACGTCGGCGGTGGCATCGTCGACGGCGGTCGGGGTGTTTGAGACGCGGACGTCGTGGGCGGTGCAGGCGGGGATGTCGATCTGGTCATAGCCGGCGCCTGCGATGGGGTGATTAGAGTTAGTATGTTTTCTGTTTTGCTTTGTCTTGTTCATGGTCTTTCTAGAGATTCAAGCTTAGGGGGGCAATGGGGTAGAGAGATAGAAGAGTGTTTCTCACCGTTGTGGCACAGAAACTTGATGCTCTTGGGGAACGCATCCAGCAGCTCGCTGTCAATCTTGCCCGTGATCTTGACGGAATCAAATGTTCTGTATGCGACGCTGATGCCATCCAGGGCGCCGGATTTGCACTCGGCAATGAATTCGTCTCGGTTGGTGGCCTTGGGCTGGATCACGTCTGCGATGTCGGCGATGGTTTGCCATGCTACGTGAGCGCTGGACGAGAGATGGTTGTCAGCTCTGGATGCAACAAGTTTTGACTTGGAATAATAGAAATAGAAGAGTAGCTCTTAAGGGGATAGTTTTAAACTTACTGGTCAATCTTGCCCAGGAGGAGGACCTTGGGACGGCTCATCTTGAAGGAGTTGCTTTGTGTAGATGGAATTGGATAAGAGGAGGAGGGGATGATGCAATTGCACCAGCGTCAGGGGGGGGGGTATCTAGAAGGAGGAAATAGAGACGAATAAAGGAATTGGAATTCTAACAAAAAGACGAAATCTAGTGAAAGAAAGAAACAAGGTCCAGGGATTTTAAAAAGAGAGGAGATAAGAAAAAAAGAAATGGGATTCATCAAACCGGGTCCCCCATCATCGCCGTCAAAGTGGGTTGTAGTTGCGAAGGCGCCGTTTCGGTGGGGTAAAATTCACTAAAAACTTGAGAAACTGGCCCCTGTAGCGCGGGGGAGGTTTTGGGTCAATCCCAGCGTGGGGTTTGTCTTGTCCATCATTTGCTTGTTCTGCTGAGATTGAAGACTTGTTGTTCTACAGATGGTAAAAGGGAAATACTCTGATATTATTACACTTGCCAATGTATATATGGAATTCGTGTCTTGTTACACAAAGTATCTGAATCTCACAGCATAGCGTTCGAAAGAATGAATATCTCTATCTGGTGGGTTCAACAACATCTCTTAGCTACATCGCTGTTTCGGGCATCTCCCGCCGAACTGAACCCCCCATTCAGACAAAGTAAGCGGATATTAGACGGAGAAATTGTCTCTGGAGCTGGACACAACCACATACCCTCACAACAAATCTCATCACGTTCAAAATGTTTATTGTGCAGGCGGGAAATTATCCCGGGAACGATCTAGTTTGTCCGTGTCCTCAATGGAATGTATCATCTGTCTGGAGAGTCAACTATAAAGCTCATGGCTATAGATACTCGAGTAGATACGCGGCTATAGGTAAACGCGCACTGCATGCTATTTTACGCATCGGATGGCCATTGCCGAATTCAATTTATCCATGGCATCGGCGAAATCGGAGACTAACAGATGCAACATATGGGAGCTCGGCTTATAGTCCATCCATCCATTCTTAGGGGCGACAACTCGGACTTACACCTTACAGAATAGTAGATACCCATTTCATCACAATTGCATATGAAATACACAACTTTGCAATGTAAATAGTGAATAAAGATTTATTTATTCGTATAAAACATCCGAAACCGTGATCCGAGAATTATACACAACATGAAAGCCGTGGTCAAGATAGTCGATCTTCAAATACCAAAACAAAACTTCGCCCGGCCGCTAATATGCTTCTCATCCATGATGAAAAGGGTCCCAGTAACTCCAAAAGAAAAACAAAAGATCGTCCAAGGTGCGAGTGTCTCAACCGCTGCTTCCAGTAACTTCTTCGCCATATCATGACAGAGGACCACATCCGCCATTCCCATATCGTCAGGATGTGTGCCCTCTTCGTCCAAGTTTATACTTTTTGGTTGACAGATCCGGCATCTTCATTCAATCCCACATCTTCTCCTCTCCCGCGCATATATACATGCAGTACGCACTTTTAGAACTCCCACGGTCCAAACACCTGTGTCATCCAGTTAATGTCACCAAAATCGGCCGAGAGGTCTTGGTCAGGTAGCATAGAGTGGTCCACCAATAAAGGAGGCTGCGGCGCCGCTCCCGGGATAACGGAACTGTTGGGCGTCGGGAGCCCTCCCATAGGTTGCTGCACTATGGCTGGCTCCCAGTTAGAGCGCACATTGCGAAGCACCTTTGTGCACTTCCCAAAGATGGATATATCCTCGGGTCCACCTCTCAGGGGGTAAAGTGCATCCGCCTTTGTAAACAGGTCAATGGTCCTGTCCAGGTAGTTACCTAGATCTGCCGTGCTACGGACAATCTCCTTGTCCCAGGCAGGATCATCCAGGGTCGTGACTCTGTATAGCAAAGCGTGAATTTGGGCAAGCTCCACGTAGAGGGTAAACGGCATGCCAATGAACTCTGCAAGCGGAATGGCAAACAAAACGTCATACCAGGCCCGGGCTGCCATGATGCCCGCATACATGGCGTCGATTCGCGGTGTATCTGGAATTCTCGGTGCCCCAAAGAGCCCAATGGAGTGGACCTGGGTTTCAGTGCTGTAGAGCTGCATTTGTATCACGGCTGAACACCGACAAGAGTTAGCACAGTTTACACCGACTTTGGTTAAACTCAAAATATTGGCGACTTACGTTTGGATGCTACTCCCTGCGGTAGAGTATCACGAATCTTTTGTAACTGGAGGAGTAGACTTCTCTTGTAGACGTATGTGGGGGGCTTGTCGGGGTCGACTCTGCCAAAATCACGTCCGACAAAGTCGCATACTAGGAGTTTTCGCGCTTCCTCTCCAATCAACTGAAGCTTCACCATTGCCACCAAGTTCTCGTCTGATGGGTACTCCTTTTCGCTCTCGAGAACTTCCAACGATTCTTGCATGTGCTGCGTCCATACCAATGACTCCGCCTTACCGAGAAAAGCCGCACATCTACTTTGTTAATGGTTAAGAAAGATGGCGAAAAATGAAAGAGAGACAGGAGGCAGGAGTCACTTACATTGATGTGATATACCAAAAGCTAAGCACCATCCTCCGCTCTTCCATTGTCCGCTCCTTAGCTTGAGGGGCAGCCCTGCCTCCCCAAGCCTTGAAACAGACAGTCGAAAACTGCTCTTCGTTGGGGAATTTTGTGAGGTTCGTCTCGTAGATGATGCAGCTGCATATATGTATGTACAGAGTCAGAAAAGGTTTGCCGCCGACACCAGCGCTCATAGTTGCCCTATGAAAACAAAGTTGTCAGTCATTGGTATGAAGGAGATAGGACACATGGGAAGGTTGGATTTACCAAGACATCAGAGTGATCAAACCCTGCACGATCTCTAGGCTCCGATCGTGATTGATAATCATTCGCTGTGCAATTTCCTGGCGCACTCTCTCTCGCATGACGGCCTGCTGCGTCATGGACATGCTTGTGACATTCATGATGCAGAGCCAGAGAAAAGGACGTTCTCTATGTAGAGCTTCGGCCGTGAGGTCGGGGTCCAGGTGTATGAAGGGGAAGTACTCGAGCCATTGGCGAAACTTGACCAGATAGACTTCAGCTTCGCTAGGAGTTGGCTCTGGGAGTCTATCGCTATCCAGCGGTCGGGGCGTCAGACTCAGGATGCTCGAGGAGCGTGGATGCGATGTCGTTGCTGCGTCGGCCAACGAGTCGAGCCGGCTTACATAGGGCTGGCAGTTGGGCGAGGTTGAGGACGACGAAGGGATGTCGCAGTTGGACACGCCGTTGATGGATGGCTGCGAAGACGACGGCTGCTGAGCCTGCTGCAAATGGTTGACATGATGAGCCTGCTGTGCCTGCTGTGAATGCGGATGCGGATGATGCTGGTGCTGTTGTTGCTGCTGCTGCTGTGTCGCCCTCAGAATCGACACCAGGTCGTCGAGCTTCTCCTCCAGCTGGGCGGTCCTCGAGGCGGTGGTCCTCTTGGCCACCCGCTTGCGCGATGTCACCATCTGCTGGCACTCTTTGCCCAGGCGATGGCAGCGGTCGCATTTGCCGCCCTCTGGCCTCAGGATGCACCGACACTTGGCGCGCGAGCAGTTGGTGCACGAACGGCCATAGCCCGCCGGGATGCCAGCAGCAGAGGCGGCGTCTGGGGGAGGCGGCGCCGGGGCCATTGTCTCACGGGATGCAATGGAGCCCAAACCAGAACCAGAGAGGCGTTTAACACAGTTGATGAGCCAAACCCGTCCGACGCAAAGATTCGCAGTGGTGAGAGCGAAGCATCGATGGGGACGCGCAGCCGGGATTGGGGCGACTCCCTTATTCCGTAGAGGATGGTGGATGGAAACTCTCGCGTTTGGCAGAGAGCAACGGGGTTCGTTGGAGCGTGCCTAGTAGTAGCATGGCCTGTAGCATGGCCTGGATGGCCTGGCTGAATCAGCATCTTGGGAGGATGTGGTCGGAGTCCCGGTGGCGGTTAGCATTCCGAAGTCCGAGAGAGAGAGAGCGCTTCCTCCAATGCCGTGTATTGATATGCAGCCATTATGTAGTAAACCGACACTGATTTAGACAAGCCTGATTGGGGCGGTATAGTGAATCGAAAGAGTCGTAAACCATTGATACTGCAGCACGTTGTAAGAGGCGATTGCTTGTGGATTGTGTGCCTCTCTAAACGGGTTGAGGCTGTGCTGCGTATCACCAACCCTGCTGGAGTTCCGGTTCGTGAGAGGGCGGGGCCGGAGAAGTAAACGGGTTCAAGGGGCCGGTTCAGTCCATTCAATGGGCGAATTGCATGGAAGCTATTATCGAGTCAGCGACGTCTTGGCTGTGATACTAGGCATGAGGAAGACACCACAGACTGGCATATAGTTAGATTATCGAGGTCAAACAGACACCGAGCAAATGAGACTGCTGTGGTCAGTCCAACAGAAACATTGCCCGCCAAGAGGAATGCCACCACGGTTCCCAGTGTAAGTATAAGCCATCGCAGTGAAGCAACTCGAATTGCAATGAATTATCCAAGCTATTTCAACTCGTACAAATCGCAACTATCTACAGTAAGCAGTAAGCACGACGAGATCAAAGCCAATTCCTGTTTATACAGGGACAGGGTCAAGTAACCTTAATCTCACAGGTACCGCAGCGCATCTGCCCACTTCGGCAAATGTTTTCGCCGCCGACAACCGGCACATGGGCGGTTATCCGAAGCTAGCCACCACCGTTGAAGCAAGGCTCCAATTTACAACTTGCACCGCTGAAGAGACACCATATTAACCCGCATCTCATCTCCAGCTCCCTCAGCTCAGCTCAGCAATAGCCTCAGCCTCAAGATGGCCGTCGCTGGCCTTGTTGCAGTCGAGACGCTGCCCCGATTCCTCCTCCCACGGCTCAGCTGGACTGCGCCGCTCTCCGCATCTCAATCTGCTGCAGCCCAACCATTTGCCCCTCTACAAGCACGAACGAACCAAAGAGCAGTGCCCGCCTTCAACACCAATTTCTCGGCCAGACGATACAACGATGGCCAGACACCGGCGCTGAGGCGAGGGTTTCACGCGACGAGTCGACGACCCCGGGAGCATCATTTCGACACGCTCAAGTTTGTCAAGCAGCTCAAGGATGAGGGCTTTACCGAGGAACAATCAGTCGCCATGATGAAGGTCCTCAACGACGTCATCCAGGAGAGGTTTGTGTTTGCAATCTTCGAGAGCTCATCACGAGAGTGCTATTGCTATTGCTAATACCAACACCCCAATGCAGCATCCAAAACCTGACCCGAACCATGGTCCTCCGGGACGATGCTGCCAGAACCACATACACGCAAAAAGTCGACTTCGCCAAGCTCCGTTCCGAGCTCACTTCCGCAGACAGCACCGAGTCCAACACGACGCGCAGTGCGCACGAGCGCCTCACCAACGACATCGCCAAGCTCAGCAGCCGGCTACGAGACGAGATCGGCCGGACCCAGGCCAGCGTGCGGCTGGACCTTAACCTGGAAAAGGGCCGCATCCGAGAAGAAGCTGTGGGCCAGGAGCTCAAGATCAAGGAGACTGAGACTAAGATTGAACAGGAGGTGGCGGCGCTGAGGGAGAAGCTGGAGCAGGTCAAGTTCCAGACGCTGCAGTGGCTGATGGGTGTGTGTACTGGTTTTGCGGCGCTGCTGCTTGGTGCTTGGAGACTGCTCATGTAAGGGACATGATGCGTCTTGGAGGTGGTGCTTAAGATGGCGGGCAATTGTGAATAGTCGTGCATTATACAATCATGATTCGAATCCAAAGCGTTATAAATAGTTTCAATTTTGGTTTTGCTCGCCATGATATTATACGACCTATTTCAACATGTTTCAAACTTGGGGATTCTCGTCAACTCCTATTATCGTGTGCATATCCCATTGATGTCAACTTTTCGAATCGGCAATGCAGTCTCGTTTTTACGTGGCCGTATTCATCACTCATACTAGTCAGCACAATTGTATACCAACGCATGTTTGACCTACATGGCTTTGAGTGTCTCGCTGCCTCATACTATCGCCAGTGCCGAGGCCGCCCTGCAAGTTGCCCTGCTTGGATCCTCCAAGACCAGTCTGCTTCGACATGTTCTCGGAAAGCTTGGGAGCGTTGAAATCCTCCGGGTCATCCTTCATTATGGCATGACCTCCTTGGAGCATATGATCGTGTGATCCGGCATCTCGGGCAGCGTTTGGAGCAGGTGCAGCTTTCTTCATTGTGAATTAGAGGTTGAGATTATTGAAGTTTTGGGTGTCAATTGGTTTTGGATCAAGAATATGGATTGGGATGTTGCGATTAAGGATGGGAGTTTGAACAAATGGCATCTGTGCCGCTTTTATACGGAATGGCTGGTTTAGCTTTGCGTATGACAGCACAGTGACGATTTATGGCATGTGGTGTCGAGCTGAGGTGGAAGAGCTGGTGGACTTTGTTTAGGGTTTGGCTGCTCTTCTGTGGTTGGGCGGGATGAAGTCATCTTTACAAAGCGTGCCTCGGCAGTAGTCTATTGGACAATAGTCAATGTTGGAGATGCTGTAAGGCGGTTGATGAAACTGGAGAAAATAATGATGCTAAGAATGGCAGGTGAATTGCATTTATTTGAGGCATTACTGTATACAAACTACTTGGTCAACGTTGGACCTTGGTGGAAGTGAAAAAAAGAGGCTGTAAAAAGGGGTTCATAGGTATGTAGTAGATGGGCAAATCATTAAGGTGATTCAGCTGTAGTCATGTTGGTTATCCACCTACAATGATATTAATCGGGACTGTAATACATGTAATTCAGCTCTCGCCGCTCTCTTGCACCAATGGATCTCTCATCGTTACTGCTGTCAAGCAGAGAAAATAGCAGCAGGCAGCACTTGACCAAACCAGCGTCTCGTCAGTCTTCCTTCCTTCATACAAAGTGGTAAACTCTGTAGGGCTGATAACACGTCCGCGCAATTCGATGCAGTTGGAAAACAAAATCTCTCCTCCGACATCATCAGCGAATATATTTGATCTCCAGTCTTTTCAATTTCCACACCTAGGCTACTTACAACAACATATTTCAAATTACCAACACAAGACACCAATCTTTTGTGAAAAAGAAAGATAAAATGGATGACGAGAGGTACTACTTTAGAGTCCAGCTAGACGAAGACGGCGATGAGGCCATGTCAGACAACTCTGGCTACTTCTCGGGGGATCCTAACCAGCGATTGCTTTTTGAGGCACCACAACCTAGTCATGAATATGGACATGTTGACACGCCACAGCCCAGTCATGAATATTTACATTTTGACGCGCCACAGCCCAGTCATGAATATGGACATGTTGACACGCCACAACCCAATCATGAATATTTACATTTTGACGCACCACAACCCAGTCATGAGTATTCAGATATACCGTTGAACCCTAGCAACAACATCCCATTACTTCCGCTAAGTGGGAGGGTTATATCCGTCACTTTTACCATGCCGTACTCTCTACGAGCTCCGGGAGACCAAAACCAAGAATGGGTGAGCACCTCTAATTAGCCTTCTTCTTGAGAATCTGTCAGGTAACCCGAGCAGGAGGTGAATCCTCGTAGCCGGATAGAACATTCTGTGCAGTTCGATATCCTATCCCACCTTTCTTCGGCAAAGTGCCCTCAGCATCACATTGTCATCGGCTGGACCGGAGAAATCTCAGGTCCTGATGCAACTCATAGCCACGCGGATGAACCTGGCCCCCGGTTAAGCAACGACGCAAATACCCTGGCGCAGCCGAGAGATAACGTGTTTGTTAGTTGCCACAGCCAGCAGGTACTAGATCAACAGCTAGCCAACGCAGAACTGGTCACAGCGCCCGTCTGGATGGCGAGTTCACGGGATCTTGTCAGGAAAGGAATCAATTTGGGAGACCAGGCCAGATAGCGACGGTTTGTCGATGGCTTCCTCTTTCCGCTGTTCCACGAGGGTCGTTCCACTGAAATAACAATCACTAAGGGAGAGAGCGGATGGTGTGATTACCTCGGCCTGATGGACGCCTTTGCCGACAAAGTATGTGACTTGTGGCAGCCTGGAGATATAGTCATGGTCCACGATTATGCCCTTATGCTGCTTCCTCAAATGCTCCGAACTCGTTTGCCACACATCCATCTCACCTTTTCATTACACGCCAGCTGCCCCAGTCATATACCTCCCGGCACAAATATGCGGCTACTCTCCAAAGTGCTGCAAGGTGCTTTCGGCTCTGATCTCTTGACCTTCCAGGCATTCATGCACTCTAATCAATTTCTAGGCTGGTGCGCACAAGAGGCCCCTGCATGGACACCACATCAAGATTTTCTGCTTGGGAGGGTAGCAGATTCATGTTTCGTACATCCAATGGCCATTGACGCATCCCGAGTCTTGTCGGTGGCATGGAGCGAAGACGTCTCTCAAATATGTGACTCTCTGAAAAGCGCATTCGAAGACAAGAAGATTATCGTTTCATACACTACGGCTAGCTTCAACGAAGAGACGGTTTATGTGGCGCAAGCTTTTAATCGACTCGAGACGCTGTTCCCCCGGTGGAGAGGGAAGGTAGTCTTGCTACAGATTACAAGCTTGCCATGGTTGTACAGAGACGAAGGGGCCTCTGGGTCTGATGAGACGCTCGTCCAGATCTTGGCTGCCCAAAACAGCCGCAAGAAATTATTCAAACAACAACTTTTAGAAACCGAACACTATGCTCTGCTACGAGCCAGTGACGCAACCATCTTCCCCTTTGCGCCTGAGGCCCTGATCAAGGCAGGGCTAGACTTTATGCTTTGCCAGCGAGGAGGCAACAAACGACCCGTCATATCGGAAGCTAGTCCATTAAGATTCCAGCTACCAAGAGTGATCTTGTTCCCCCGAGGAGATATCGACGGTATTGCAAGGGCACTAGACCGTGCCTTGGGGTTTTCCTTTGAGTGCCCTAGGTGCCATAACCAGCCAGGTGCCCGGGATTGCCCTGAGTGCTCTGGCCGGCCGCCGATGACACCACACAGGGTGTTGGAGCCTTTGATGATACCTACTGTAGAGGAGTGGGTGGGAAGCATAACGGCTAGACTTGTAGACAGGGTGCTACAGTGTCGCTTCGCAAATCCTGTTCCTTAGGATTCAACTGAGCGTGGTGAAACTCGTCCCAACGGAGGCGATGGAGGTGATGGTAATGAAAGTGATGACACTATACGCAATATGGATGATTTCAGCGATTTTTATGATTCGAACGAGAGTTGGCCTCATGACAGTGGTTATGGCAGCGACGGAGAAGATTCAAATTCCACAAGCAGGACAACGCCGGAGCCTGATGATGGCGATGAAGAGAACGATGATGGTCTCATGAATGCACTTCGTAGGGCTCAATCTGAACCTGTTCAAAGTACAAGGCAAATGCTGAGCAGGCACATGCCACAACGATATAGTTGTGGCTAAGTTGGAGATGCATTCTCGACATGGATTGTACGAGGTATGAAAGTGTGTATCAGCGATGCAAAGCGAGATGCTGGAGACGGATCAGAAATCAGTTTAAACTCAAAATTAACAACTGCCTAGATAGCATGCATAAATAAATAAATAAGTACAGCAACCACCAGTATTTGATTTCCTCTCCAAATGCCCGTCCCCGTGTCTTTGTGGTTGTTGTGTAGGGTAACATCGAGGCGTCCGAAACGCGCAGAACCCGTGCCAGCTCAAGTCACAAGATCTCTCAAGCACACGGGACTAAAATCAAGCCTTTTTATCACCACCTATCAGCCGACCGCCTTTGACCACGATGATCAGCACTCTGGCCCCGTAAAAGGAAGACGATAACAAAAGGCGAGGAAAATGAGCCCTGGTCTCGTGGGGGCGGGATTGGCGGGAGGAGGATTTCTGGCCAGGTGAGCTCGTATGGGGGAATGATTGCTTTTTGCTTTGGCTTTTTGCTTGCTCATGCTGCTGTTGCGGCTTTTGGGTTTTGGTTGAGCGGGCGTTTTTTTGAGGGGATGGATGAATGTCGTTGATGCCTGGAATGGGCGTTTTATTGTTTGAGGAATGTTCGGAAGGGTTTGTTCTTTTGTTTGGATTAGTGAGTGATGTGTTTTGAGGCTTATATATACCTGACCCGGTAGGTAGGTATATATTATATATATGTAGGGGTTTGGGTTGATGGGCTTGGCTCTTGTTCTTACCCATCGGCATTCAATCTCTCATTAAGGTGTCTTTTATATATCATTAAATCTACATGGAGCCTAATCATCCGTTAATCGCTGCTTGGACATCCACCCCGATCCCGGACCTCTCTCTCTCTGCCGGCGGCTTACTTGCGCTCGCGGACTTAAACACTATCGCCCAGCGCACGGCGATTGCTGGCGGATCATCGTGGCTAGACGCCTTTGTGCTCGCGCCTGGTCTGCATTACCAACAGGCGGCGGACTTGCTGACACCTGAATATGGATCCGGGAGACTGGTGCTTTCGACGCTGGACGGCGGGGCGAGGCAGTTCGTCGTGAGCAATGTCGCCATGGTGAAGTACCTGCGGAGATTATGGGAGAGGGAAGGCAAGTACGGAGTTGTGACGCTGTATGTCAGGGCGGAGAATGGCGTGGGAGGGATATCGTTTTCGTCGTCGTTGTCGTTATTGCTGGGGAGGGACGATTCGCGGAGGAGGAGTCAGAGGCGGTGGCAGAGAGATTTGAGGAGGCAGCTTGAGAAGGAGCACAAGAGTCATGTTAGGGAGGTTCTGGAGATGGATTGGGTGAGCCACGCGCTGTATTTGCTGAGTCCGTTACTCACGGTGACGGCGATTGTGTTTATGGTGTTGTTGCAGGATTGGTGGGGGTTGGGGTTCTTGATTGCGCTCATGGTGTCAAGGTTGGCGAACATTTGGGCGATTAAGGAGCGTGCGAGGCCGGGGGGTTCGCCGCCGCCGCCGTTGCCTCCCTTGGATGATGACGAGAAGCCCAAATCACCACCACCTCCTCCGCCGGGTTATCCTCCTCCTGCTGCTGCGCAGGGGATATTGCCGACGGCTGTGGGGGAGTCGAAGCAGAGCCTGGCGCTGCCGCTCACGTTCAAGCGACAAGATTCGAGCATGACGCAATACACCATCGACTGGGGCGACAACCGGCGCGTGATCCTCAAAGGCGAGGACGCAGACCTACGAGCCGTCACGACCGAAGCCTGGCTGCGCGCGAAGACCACTCTAGAAGGCTATCTCGAGGCAATGTCCAAGCTCATCGTCTACATGGTGGCTTCTCTAAGCGGCAATCTCTCTCAGGCGGGCGCCGTGGTCCTCATGTCGCTACTGCTCGTCAGCGCGGGCCTCCTCGGACTGAGCAACGCCCACGCGACGAGCATGCAGATGCACGGTCGGCGGGTTGGGCGGTTGAAGGTGGAAAAGGTCAAGATTGCGCCGCTGGACCCGGGCATGGCGGTGTCTGGGCAGGTGGACACGACGGCGGACGGGATGCCTGTTCACATTGTGCCGGTGGTTAGTAACTGAGGAGGATTCTTGTTTTCTGTTTTGTTTGAAAGGCGGCGCATACTAGGTTCAGATATATACGAGAGATACCAACGGGATTTGTTTTTGTTTTCTGTTCTGCAATGTATATCAGGCTTCTCTTTCTTATAAACAAGTTGTATCAAGACGAACCAATAGAAAATACTCTCAACAAATAAAAAACATGACACATAAAGGGCATCGAGAAAGAGAAAACGTAGACCGTCATGAATGGAAACTGAGGCATTCTCATCTAAAAGCTAACTCGTATATCAATATCGGGGGAGCACAACCAAAAGACCCAAGGAATCCAAACGCCGCCATATACAAGTACATCTCCCTATGTGCCAAAGAGGTCGAATCCAATGCTGAGCCGCCAAGACGACCTACGCGTTGGCGGGCGGGTCTTCCTTCTCCTCTTCCTTCTCCTCTTCTGCAGCAGAAGGCTCTGTTTTCACTGGAGGTGATAGCTCCTCTTTGGGTTGCTCCTCTGGTGCGGGTACAGGTAGAGATTCAGACTCGGGCTCTGCCTCGGCTTTGGGTTCAGGTTCAGGTTCAGCCACAGGCTCGGGTTCTGCAATAGGCTCGGATTCTGTCACAGGTTCAGTTTCTGCAACAGGCTCGGATTCTACCACAGGTTCGGACTCTGCCACAGGCTCAGATTCTACCACAGGCTCGGACTCTGGTTCAGCTTTAGGTTCAGGCTCCAATTCTAGCTCCGGCTTTGATTCGGGCTCTGGCTGCTGCTCAGACTCCGGAGCAGGTTCGGGGGCCTCTTCGGTGACGGGTGGTGCAGCTTCAGGTGCCGGCTCTGGAACCTCAGGCAGTGTCGGTTCGGCAGGGCTCTCGGGTTTGACCTCAGCGGTGGGTGCGGTGCTCGGCATAGCTTCATCCAACAGCTGTGATGCTGCCGCCTGACGATCCAGCTCTCCCATCAAGCCACCGAGCAGATCTGGCTCATTCTCCTGAGTCATATGGGTGTCACCATCGACCTCGGGAGCTGTCAGCTCTGGTTCGGTGGATTCTGCCACAGTGTTAGCGGGGGCAGTTTCCTCCTTTGCGTCATCTATCGACACATTTCCAACCTCTGAAGGTGCCTCCGATTCAGGTAAAGGTGCCGTTACTGAGACCGAGTCCTCTGGCTTGATGGTATCTTCCGTCATGGTAGATAGTGTATGCAACAATACCGGTTTTTGGATATTGATATCCGGTTGGCTGCTCGTTTGTCCCTTGGGCGTTCCCTCAGAAATTCGAGAGTTTTCATCCTCAGTCTTTGGGCTGGAGATGTTGCCCACTTGGTCAGGAGGAGGCAGATCCTCAGCCTGTGGCACGTCACGATCCATGGCCTCCTGAGGGGCCTCTCCGACGATTGTCGAAGGGGGTTCAGCGATGGTGGAGTCCGCCGTGTTATCGGGGAGCGCATCCAGCATAAGTTGAATCGTTTCTGCTGCAGGCTCGGCAACTACCGATGGCTCAGATGGCGACGGCACAATGACAGGATTCCTAGGCGGTGTGTCTTCTTGTTTGAGCGGTACAGAAGTTGGGCGTTCCAATGGCTCTTCAAGCGCCGGGATGCTTGGTGGCGGAAGAGGCGAGGGCTCCTTGGGGGCAGGCTCTGATGGTGCCGGCTGCTCATCCTTCATTTCGGTGTCGGGGTGATCAATTATATGCGAAGCATCAACCATTTCCTCGTCTTGATCTCTGGTGACGTCGAGGATTGATTCGTCTTGCAGCTCAGTCTCGTCGCCTTCGCCTTCATCTCCATCCTCGCCCTCATCGCCGTCGTCACCTTCTTCTTCTTCTTCATCGTCATCGTCGCCATCAACGTCACCCATCTCGCTGTCTGGGTTCCGCGCTTCGCTCTCGTTCGGTGTGGGTGTCTATTTGTACATGAGTTAGCTTCATCATTAGATGGTAATTGTCAAAATGCCACTTACGAGCAAGTCTTTGGCCTCCGTCTTGATCGTTGTTACGGCGGCTCCAGCTCCTGCGGCGGGAGCAGCTCCAGCAGTCTGCGGTTCTGTTGAAAGCGGCTGCTTAATCTTCTTCTTGCCTCTTCCAGGTCCAGCCTTTGCTTTTCTCTTGGGCGGCGGTGGTCGTCTCCTGACTGCCGATGGTGGCGGGGCTGCAAAGGCATTTTGCTGTGGCGCGGCGATGGCCTCGACTCTGGTCGCAATGACTTCGCCTTCCACACGCTGGCCCTCTGACAGTGTGACTTCTTCCGTGTAAGGATTTCCGGCTGCGTCCATCCTCCTGACCGTGGCCCGCGTCACCGTAGGTCCTTGGACCTTCTCCTCCACGGTCCGACTCGCTATGGTAACGATATTCTTCCTCCGCTTCGCAAGGTGCGAGATGCCCGGTGCCTCCACATTCTTAGGCAGCTGCTTCCAGATCCTTATCTGATAGCCCTGGGCGCTCGCGTCCTCCTCCTTCTTCTCTGGCTTATCCTGGATGGCTGTTTCGCCATCTGCCTCGTCGTCTTCGCTAGGATGTGGTCGTTTGTAGAGGCGACCGGAACGCGCAGCGCGCAGCAGCTCCTGCGTATGGGGAGGCAGTAGAGTCGCGTCCTTGGGCATGCCGTGGATGAGTTCGATGGCCCAGATGTCATTCTGCTGCTGCTGCTCTTGCTGGACCGGAGGCGCGACGTTGACCCATTCGTGGCGCCATTGTCGGACGGGAAGACCTGCGTCAATCAGTTCAGCTGGTGTCGCGTGTTAATGGGATGCGCGATGGAGGCAAACCTTCGAAATCGTCGTGCTCAACGTAGCCACTGCGATTTGCGCGTCTAGTCTGGAGCAACACTGTCAGCTTACGGGCGCCTCGAGAGAATGGACACGAGAAAAGCGTACTCCTGGAGCCATTGCGCCTGGGCGAATTGCGGCAGTGGAAGCCTTTGTCCGTTACAGCGCAGCACTGGAATCAGCACTGCGGCGGGGTGTCAAGGAGCGTTGAGCAAGGCGAGGCAAAGTTGGTGATGCCTGGAGTAAAGTAATGCTGCAACGGCTGGAGTGACCGTGTTAGTGATAGAGTGAACTGATGGTGAACACGCCCCAAAGTGTTTGGTGAAAACGAATGTGACTACGGCGTATCAGCCAATTGGAAGCAAGTGTAACGCGATGACATAAGCACGCATGCTGCAGTGAGAAGGATCCAATGCATCAATATTTTAGTGCCTGCGCATACATGAAAGGCTGCAAATTTATGATTGAGCATTCTACTGTAGGTGCGGTATTGTGATGAAGACGCAATGCTGTTATGAGAAGCTACTATAGGTAGGTCGATAACTTAAGAATCTTGTAAACTTTTATAAGTGGCGTGGAGTTTGCATTGTAGGTACTTTGCGATAGCCGCCACCTTAACCGTTCACGCAGAACCTCACATGAAGCGCTGCATCTAGCGTGCAAGATGAGATACTGCAGCAGCACATTCCTTGCCCTCAATTGGTGACCTGCAGCACTAAATCTGGGCATCGAGGTCATACAGACAGGCCAAAGCTCTCTCCGGGTGAGGCCAGCTTGGGCGCTCGCGAGTTTTCGCAATCGGTGTTGAGATTGTGTAGTCTAAAGTTTGTCCCGTAACGATCCCGCAATACTCCCAAGCCGAGCCGAAAAGCCGGTCTCTCGATGCTCCTGTGATATATGTATGATGTACAAGCCCCATTGCCACCCTACTATACAGCCATCAATCCCTCCAGATTTATCATTGTCATTTTCGCATGCTTTTCATTAACTCAGTCGTAACTGAAGGTGAATATGTTAGCGCGACCCCCCGCTGCTGAAGAGTCCTGACTCACCCTTGCTCTCTTTGCCGTACTATCTCTCCTGATTTCGTTTCTTTGCCCTGAACCCTTTGCATTAGTGATGGTGTCGAGCGAGGCCAAGTTGCAGTCAAAACCTACCGACTGTCCTCCCTCGACCACTAATCGATCCATCTTGTAGAACTGTCCAATAACCGTTTGTCGCTGCCATGCGCCGTCAGTATCTTCCGTGCTGGAGGAAGCGCAAGTGAGCAGTCCTCTAGCATACCTTCATCGTCTGAAGCTCCTTCAGCCCCTTCTGAATCAACTCCTGAATCTTGCGCTCGTCTTCCACCGCATAGTTTTCTCGGAAAGCATCTCGGGTCCGTCGCCTCGCATACTCGCGGAAATTGTAAGAACCGAATTCGTTGCTTTGCCGCAGCAGCTGTCGATACTAAAAAGGTCCGCAGAGTTAGCTGAGCTGCATCGCGAGGCCAGAGACTGTGTCCAAAGCTGAAAAAGACCCAATATTGCTCTTTTCACGGTTTCCCCCACTACATCATTACGCCGCCTTGACGCAACAAAGCCGCTCGCGCAATTCGCATGGATCGCAATAAACCAACGTACCAGTGATCGCGCCTGCTGCGGTAAGTCACCCCGTAAGGTGCGGACTAAAGACATTGTATGCTGGTGACTTGGCGTGTTGTTGCCTCTGGCAAGTTATGGGCATTCAAATTCCCATATCCCAGACAATTGATAATGACGAGCCGGGAATCCTGCGGTTCGGTGTTAGTCGGGCCGGAGAAATCCCTGCTCCGAAAAAGCTGCTCCATCCGAGCTTTGCCCGGCAAATCTCTTCCGCATCTTTGAGCTTGGCCGCCGCTTTTTTCAACTCGATTGTGGCCTTGTCTCCGAGAAGCCGAGAGGATTCGGGATATTGAGGTTGTGGCCCGTCTTAGCCAGGGCTTCAAGTTGATCATGTCCTACGTGGAAGTGCCTGCTAGCGTTAGCCCTGCATGACTGCAGTACGTCTTACCCAGACTTGTACGCATGTAATCCAAATAGAAGCATTCTCACAATATGGATAAACTTGTCACCCTGCAACTTGAATGAGCGAAAATGCCGGTGAAGCTATAGTCATCTCTAATTTTGTTTTTACTAAATATGTGCATATGTATTAACAATAATGTCCAGAATTCGACTTCTACATCTGCATCTATAACATCACCTATACCATATACCAACTCTTAGAAATGAAGGTAGGTAAACTGAAACCTGACGCATAATTCACTTTTCCACTCCAACTTGATTTGTTGTTGTGATTACCCAAAACTCTTACAACCCCATGCAATCAAGCTCCTTTGGGTATCAGAATATTGATGCGCTCACCAAATGCAATCCTCAAGGGCTCAACTCCTGTGTGATCTTTATCCCCGGCCGAAACAAGACGGCATGCGCTAGAACTGAAATGAAAATAAGGACTTGTAGGAATCATATGCTCGCCTATCAAAAGATGGCATCGAGACAAGGCCGGAGCCATCCTGAGCAAAAAAATATTAACTTTTAATGACTCCCTAATGCATTGATCCGTCTAAAGCGTTGGCGCTGCTCTCTGCGAAAAAAGAAGAAATCTCTCCAGTCGTGACATAGCCGAAAATTTTTCAGAGTAGAATGTTTAGTTCCGGTCATGAACTGGACGCAGAGGCACCAAATGAAGCCAAAGCCTGTGCAATGGTTTCATCAGAGAAGCCATTGGTATTAAGCATGCGATCGAATCTCGTGCCGTGGTTCAAGTTCCCTTGTAACTGAGCTGTCAGGGTATATTGCCGTTGAGATTGGTTTGGCTTGATAACTGTGGCGGCCTGGCTGTTTTGCTTCTCTGGGAGGAGAGGGGCAAAGGCAACATTGGTGACGGATGCGTTGAGGTTTGCTAATTCTGTGGGATGACTGTTGTCGATGAGGTTCCACTTCAGAATCTTACCCTTGATGTGACCTGTGACGATCGAGGTGCCATCATAGCTTACTGCCATGCAAGAGGCAGGACCGACATCCTCATCAGCCACACCCAAGGGGGAGTTGATTTGCATAACTATAGATGCCAGCTCAGCGCTTCGGGATCCCAGGAGCGGCTTGTCGCCATAAAACTCCACAACATATAGGCTTCTATCTTCGGAAGAGACAAAAAGGGCTCGAGCACAAGGATCTAAGGAGATACAGAGAGGAGCCGTGGGAAACAACAGTGTTCGCAGCACTTGACCTGTCTGATAGTTCCACAAGATGCAAGTCTTGTCCTTGCTCGCAGATACACACAGATTTGTCTCGGGGTTGGAGCCTGGACCCACGACAAGATCGGTGATGGCACCTCGGTGATTGGACAGTGTCCTGTCTGGCTCATGCCCGATATCCTGCCCAGGCTCAAGGAGGCGCGGCAAGGACCAGACATTGATGTTGGAGTCATCTGAGGCAGAGAGTACATGGTGGGGAGACACAGCAATACAACTTACTGCCTGCACATGGCAAGGAGGCGTTGTGATTTGCCGCCCAGTGCAAGTCTAGACAATGGTTGTTAGCATGTGTACCATCTCTCTCAGGGGTAACTCAAGCACCCTGGCGTTATCATAGAAGCATAAAGGAATAAAGGAACATAAAAAGAAAAGTTAAACATACCTCCCAAAGAATAAGCCGGCCCTCGGCTGTTCCCAGAACGAGAACATCCCCAGCCAGGGCAATACACCGGATCCGTTCCTGGAAGGGCACAAGAGCTTCCTGGTTTCCTCGAGCTCGAGAATAAACATGGACATGGGCTTTCTGATCCTGAGCAGCGTACACGTGGCTATCGCTTAGAGCCAGGCAGTGAACCGGAGCTGAGGATTTCTTGAAGGATGCCTTGACGGCCCACGTGGGAGTGAGTGTGTGTGCGTAGATGCCAACGTCTTTTGATATCGCCGTGTTGGCAGCGATGGGCGGGCCGCACACCGACGAGAAGAGCTCGTCCGACAGCATAACGGCTATAGTTTGAGATTGACTAGACGTTGGACAGTGGCGTTTTGGGTGATTCCGTAATGTTGAAGCTACCGGGCTGATATCAATGCCGCCGGGGTTGACAGACGGTTGATGGTCGACTCGGAACAACAAGCTCAGTTTCTGCCAAGGAGATGCTACTGCCAATGGTTCCCTCGGTTGAATTGGCTGCAGACGTGCGTTACACTAAAGTGACAAGCGCTTGACAACTCTCCGCTTGCTCTTGTGGGCGTCGTATGATCTCTCGCTCGAATGTTTGAGGCAAGGGAAAAAGGCTGGCTAGCCGTTGGAAGAAAAAAAAAAGAAAAGAATTTTGAGGTCCGATGGAGTGCATGGTGACCCGCTCTGCGCTGTAGCCAGTATAAGCTGTTCGCTCCAGGCCTTTTCAGCGCCTCCAAGCCCACTCGGCCCTCTGAAGCCGGCCGCTAGCGCTGAATCCTTAGTGGCTGCTACTGCCAGGCGGCGCCCGATCTAGCGCTCATGCAAGTGACTTATCTGATTATGTACCTTATTGCAGCTCTAGCAAGCCCTCCCTGCATGACCTCATCTCTGTCTCCTCAACTTCATCTCCGCCTTCAATCTATCGCCTGCTGCTGTGGCTGTCAAGTTCAATGTCTCGTCCACCCGTCCAAATGGCTGCATCTATTGCTGCCGCAGCCCCTCAAGGTCGTGCCCCTGCATATGGCCGCTCTTAACAGGATGCCAGCTCATCACCTGCGTCCCTTGCGTCGAGAAGCCTTGGTCTTGACTGGACTGCCTCTCCCTTGGCAAACCTCCGATCCCCTTCTCTGCCGCCATATCTAATCTAACTGCAGGTTGATCTGTGGGGTCTCCGGACTTGCTCAGCTCATTACCCAGAGCAAGGCCATGTGGTGGTGGATGCCTCGAGCCCCCACAGGGACTGCAGCTCCGGAGCACAATGAGATGAAATGGCTTGCATTGCTTATACCTGGATGCCCTCAAGGATACCCATGGTGAGGTGCCGACGAGCCAATTACCACCTCAGCTTCAATAGCTATCTATTGTCCTTGCAAGGCACGGGCTATAGTGCGGACCTTGTCCTTCTCAGGCCTGGGCTCGTGGCCCTACTTTGCTTTTTTTTTCTTTCGTTTCTTTTTCTTGTTAGCAGCCAACAACAAGTGCAGGGGTGGCAGCCTCAGCGCCCCATATGGCACGGGATAGAGTTCCGTGCTCCTCCCACCGGGCGGGAAACGTACGAGTACCAGAAAGTTGTGGCTAATTGACTCTTGCTGCGGAGTGTTGCCCACATCTCTATGTCTTGTTGCTCTGACCTGCTGGCCGTGCACGAAGACGGATTCGATGCAGCTAATTACAAGTACTGCTTTGGACTCCGAAAACTCCGCTCCTCACGCCATTCTCTGACAGCCAAAAGAGACGAAAAGAAAAAAAAAAAGCCACTGACAAGGACCACTACTAGTCGATTACTCTGGCTTTGGTTCTGGGGTTGCTTCCGTGGGTTTCGGGTTGTAGTCGCACAAGACTGTCTTATTCCAGGTACCCGAGGACAGCAGGCTCCTGGCCTTCGGGAAATGACTGTCGCGCTTTAAACGGATTCATACCGAGCCGAGATTTGCCATCGCCATCTTGGTACGACATGATATACATCATTCGCGCACATCGAGGAGGGCAGGCATCATTCGTCCTTAGCTCTCGTTAGCTGGGATTCAACCCGACTATGATAGCCAGGAGGGATGATTGGCTACGCAGCATTGATCCCTTGCAGAAAGCTATGGAGGAGGGGAAGATATCATATGAAAGAGGCAACATGGGCCAGCACTCTCTCGACCATGACACACATTTGCCAACATCTATGCCCCTCTTACGGGTTGCCGTTGTTTCATGCCACTTACAAAAAATGATACAAGTCTGAGGCAGACGGCATACAAGTATGCCGAATTCCTGCTCGGTGCTTCTCTGGAACGAAGCGGCAGTCAGCCATCTGAGGATCCATGGCCAGGTGGCGGCCTGAGCTTTGACCTGAGCGGTTGGATCTTGGCCATGTTCTAGTTTTGCTTTTGTTCTGGTAACCCTCCCCCTCGGAGTCAATAAATCACGGGCTAGCAGTGCCCTTGCACTAAACCAGAGCTGCATCTTTCTTCTGGTCCGCGCCAACCCCTGGACATGGTCTTTGCTCGTTTTGGTTGTACCACTAACTAGGATGCAGCCACCCTTCTCAAAAGTCTCCATGCTCCAACCATCCCAATGAGGCTCCCTACAGGAACGCTGCTATTCTAGTCGAGACCTGAGATATCTTGCTCTCGTATGTATGCATGTGCCAGATCGGCTTCTCAGCCGGTCCTCAGTGTATTCAGTTTCAGCCGCTCACCACATCTTATGAGTATGATCTATGCTGTTGGAAAGAAAGCCATTTCAAGCTGTTATTCTCCAAGCGCCATCATATGACCCTTTTCTCCTTCTTCTCCTCTCCCCTTCTTAGTATACACGCAACACAACAGCCGCCTCACCAACATTTCATCCCTTGGGTTTGACTCTGTCCGTGTCTCGCTCTTTCTGCCACCAGGCACCCGTTCAACAACCCTACCCTCCGTCAGTGGCCAAGGCATTCTGATAGATATAGCTTGGCCGATCCCTTTATGATATAAGTTTGATACTGCCGGGACAAATATTGTGACAGAGGTAGCCTAGATGTCGGAGGCCAGCTCACAAATCGCGACTTCGCCAGCTGGTTTTCTAGAACGACCTACCAACAATTTAAAGAGCGCACCGACCAACAAGCCCCTGGCCAAGACCACGCGGAGATCGGTATCAAGTATGAAGGGCCTGCTACCACTTACCTTGTCGACATCTTCCTGTTCAAGCCTTGCAAATCAACTTCCTGAAGAAGCTCTCGAACAACGTGTAGATGACTATTTTCCCGAAGTTTTGGTTCAAGACCTAGAGTTGTCCAAGATCATCTTTGAAGCTCGAAGTATGACAGCCGGCTCACCTACTTCTTCCTCACTCTTACCATTTGACGACTGCACCGGCAAGTCAATAGCCACCATGAACACCATGAACCCTTATCGAGGCTCTTCTCTGTCGCCATACCAATCAGGCTATTTGCGTGTTCAGACCCTCGGAGCCATCCAAGAGCGAAACTCAATGGTCTCATTCCTCGATCAGCAGGAAGATGAGAGGTCTGGTGATGCGGCATCTGATTCGTGCTCTGCAACCGAAACCGATGCGTCGTCTGTATACGACGCGGCTCCCCCCTCCTTTTTCCTACGACGCCAGTCCATTGATACAAGTGTGCCCTCGCTGGACCCAGCAAAAGCAAAGATGGCTCCGCCAAGGTCGTCAACAATGTCGCCGTCAGAGAGCTCTCGCTGCGAAAGCAGCTGGATTGAAACCGATTCAGATGTAGAGGATGACCGCGAGGAAGATGCCATTTATGGCACCGTGCTTCACCTCTCACCAAGACCGCCAACGCCCCCAGAATTCGAAGCCAGAGTTGACTCTAGATCCTCAAGCGGCAACATGCATAAATTTCTGCATCGGAAATCACATTCGTCCACAGACGCCGCCGCTCTCGCGTCACCTCCAGGGCAACACTTGAGCAACTCGACGACCCAGGCGTGGCGGTCAAGTTCCACGCAGTACTCCAGGCACTCCCATACTCAAATGCAGTGCCCCGACAGCCCCGAAAGCCTTTATCTACCTATGTCCCAATACACGCCTCCTACGCCACATTCACAGAGCATGCACTATATGCCCGACGGTGGCCTCGCTCGGCGTGCGAGCAACCGGTCAATTATAAGACCAGCGAATAATCATACCACCAACGCTACAGCGATTGACGACTGTGCCAGAACGGAATACAATCAATTTGTGTCATCTCTTGATTCAAAGTATGCCCCGAGGGCTGATAGTGTCTACATCCGCCCCTCACCCCCTCCATCACCTCTTCCCAGCGTGCAGATGTGGCTCAACGGGAGCGCGCAGCTCTTTTCTCTGCCATTCCAGAGCGATGAGTTGGCTCGGGTTGTGCCTCTACCGCCTGATGTTATGGAGACGCTGAGAGTCACTACGGCATGTTTTCCAGAGACAATGCTCCTCTCTTCTAGCTTGACCATTGAGACGATTCGAGCGTATTCTAGGAAAGCTAGGAATCCTGGAACAGAATTTACTCCTCCCCCAACGTCACGATGCTCGACCCCTACGTCGAAGCAGTCATTATGGAGAAGGGTGGTGAAGCGCGGATCACGGCAGTCGAACCAACGGACGCGTGATGTGCACACCCCAACTGCAAGCTTGCTGCAATCACCCAGCTTAAGCTCGTTGGAGTCCCCCAAACCGTGGACATCGATCAAGAATGTATTTGGCAACTGCTCTGATTACATTTGCGATGCGCTTTACTCCCACATTGTCGCCTATAATTACATTTCCGCCCTTGTTGCGCGGTATCCGACATCACTTGGCTGTGGGCGCTCATGCTCTTCGCCCGTTGGATCACAACATGACGACATCCCCAAGAAGGCGGCTTCTCTCTTGGGTCTTAATGAAAGGGCCAACTCCACTTCAGCTGCATCCATCCGCTCTGCAAGACGATTCAGCTCCTCGCACTGGGGCAGGGAGGATTTCATGGCCACGAGCCCTTTGGCTACTTCGCCTCACCAGGATATGGCGATTAGGAGCATTCAGACTGAGCTGCTGCGGTGCATACGGCGTCTGATAGCGACCGCGAGACTGATGGCTGAAAGTGACGGTGTGGATGAGAAAATGGTGGAGATGGACATTGAAGATGCGGACGTGCTGTTTATGCGCAGTCTTTGCGAAATTGTTCGGGTGAATGAAGAAGCAGCTTATCTGTAAATCATGTGGCAATTTTTGACGATGTTTATAAATCAAGCTTATCTATTCTATGATTTGAAAGAGAAATGTTATTATGTTTATACTGCTAAATGAGTTGCCTTTTCCTTGACTTTGTATTGTATCAGGCTATCATAGCATGCTGATGCAGTCCTCATGCGATAGAATTTAGTAGGATAAACGGCGTGAATAGGATATTTCATCAATAGTTATAAATCCTAAGCTATGCTATGAAACAGACCAAGTATCAAAGGGTATCATTCAATCTCATCCAAGTGCTAAAGTTGTCAAGACTATCATCTTATCCTAAACTATAGAATAACAACCTCGGCTGCACAGCGGTCATAAATTCTCAGGATCGTCGTGTTTCTAATGGCCCTTTTCCATCCCCAAACAGCGTCTCATGCCACGGCTTGCTTCCTTTTTGGCAAACGCCGTCCCAATCTATAGGAACAAGCCTAGCCGGGTGCTCCTCCTTTGCTAACTCAAACACTGTTACTTGCTTGTCCTGACGTTGCGCCCTCGGTGGCCAGTAAACCAGGTTCTCGTCACCATCTTTTTGCGAAGTTATGTTCAGAAGCGGTCTTGCGTCATCATCGTTCTGGGGTGGTTGTAGATGTGCAGAAACGAGCTCTCGCAACCGGGGATAGAACCACATCATGGACCACCAGTTGTTTAGTCGCCAAGATTTGAGGCCGTTGATGTATGCGTTGTGGTGGATTCCCACGGGGGCGACGCCGAAAAAGAAGTCGGTGTAGAGAGGAACTTCACCCCATGAGACTTTGGAAAGAAGGCTTTCAACGGGATTTTCGAGTTCCAATTCCTTTGGGGTGCCGCTTATGCGAGCGCCGTTGGGCACGCCAGCTTTCAGAGATTGTTCTTTCACAGCCTTCTTGTCATCGAGTTTGACAAAGTAACCATCTTCCTCTGCAGAACATGTAGCTGGGATAGTCGTAAAATTGTAATCCAGTCCAATACCAAACTCAAACTGCTCACCTACGAGGGCCTTTGCCGCAATGTCCCGAACTTCAGGGCTAAGAGTCGACAAGTCGTACTTTGCGCCGCTGCCGTCCCACGAGCCGCCCAATTCTCGCATCCACTCGCGCCACATCTCCTGGTCGCCAATGACTTCGCCAAGCAAGGCCTGATCGCTCCAGAGCTGGCGGCCGCTGCGGGCGACGGTCTCGATTTTGCGCTTGCAGCGCCTGAGGACCTGGCGGAGGGAGCGCATGGTGCCCATGATCATGCCGCTGTTGATGCAACGGGGCCGGATCTTTTTGTATTTGCGGGCTGGGTCGAAGAGGAGAGGCAGGACTTGGTCGGTGCCCTCTCCGTATAGATCTCTTGGCATGGGGGACTGCGGCCAGTGGTCGTAATGAGGGTCCGAGCCGGATTCGCTGTCTGGCTGGCAGTCCTTGGCAGTGGTGACTATGATGGATTGTTTTGGGGGTGATACTGGAAAGGCAGAAGGTGAATCTTTTTGTGCTGCTTGCCACTGTTTGCGTAGCCGCTCGTTGGCCTCGTTGTTGAGCTGATGGTATCGCTGGATGAGTACTGAAGGGGGTAGCTGGAACCATATATCATACGCATCAACAAGAACTGCTAGGTCATCGTCGTCGGCGCCCCCGTCAACTTGGGCTCCGCCTAGCGTTTCCTCAATCACGGCGAGAAGGCTCTCGAGTTTTGCGATGTGGCTTCCTGCAAAGTGCCACTCCGGGCGGTTAAATTCGCCGTCCCAGTTGAGCAACGTAGGCAGAGGATAGCCTAGAGCGACTGCGGACATGATGCTTTTACATAAGTTGATGTGAGGCGAATCAGCGGGCATGAAGATTCGCAGCTGTCGCTCGCCACCTGCATCTTTTGCGGCGACGGAGTTGAAGGCTTCTAGGGCTTCTCGCAGCAGGACACCCGAGGGCGGTGCCTTATTCGATGAAGAGGTGCCATATCGGAGTTGTGCAGAAGCAGACTATCAAGCGATTAGATTGAATATCAAGAATAAAAAAAAGGGCAAGCGCATATTTACCAGAGCGGACAAGAAGAGGCTGATGGTGAGAACCACCAGGCCCAACGCCCGCCATACCGCACCTTGGCATACTAACAGTGAAAATCGCCGCAATGCGGTGCTTTTGGCAGACACAGTTTGATGTTCATGATGCTCGTGACTTGATAGAACGCGATACTCTCTATTCGATGCGGATCGGCTAAACACACTGGCAAATATTCGAGAGGACGCGAGTCTCATCTTCACTAAACACCGACGAGATGCTTCGGCGTTTTGAACGATTATTGGGCCTCTAGAGAACACCGCAGCCAACGCATGCTTCGATACTGTCTCTTGGGTCACAGTATTGCTAGGATAAGGAAAGAGAAGAATAGTATCAACTAAGAACAATAGTCATTTTGACCTTGTAACCTGAGAGGATGTGTCTATGTACATGCACTCAAGCAGTTGGCATGGAAAAAACAGGGACCACAATCAACATGCGCATTCATGAGGAGAATACGCCCACTATTCTATATGAGTTTAGTGTGGTGCATATGTGCGGGTTATCTGTTTCTGTATGCTGATCATATCTCAGTCCCCTCATTTTTTGCACCTCGTGGTACTGTACCATTGATTTGCCGCCCATCACCACATGTGAGTTTCAACGGCTATCACATACAGCTTACATGTAACTTACAAAACGTGGGTCGTTGCGGCGACGGGTAACCGAATCAAGCACTGATTGGCTTCTCCATCCAGGGGATTCAACGGCAACGGAGAATGCGGCGGATATAGGCTTTAGCTTGCGCGTCGCCATGACTTGGCACTCGATTAGCTGAGAGTCGATTTGAGGCACTCTCAATGGAATCGGTATATAGGGGCCTTAGTCGTGCTATCGTCGTCCATCTCTGCAGCTTCGAGTCAGGCGGATCCGGGGACTGTTTGGCGCTACCGCACGTGGGCGAGGATCATCCTCTAAGGGGCCCAGTTTCCACACCATTAACGTCATCCTATTTTCTAAGCGTTGACCGTTTCTCTGCTTGTGGGTGTGGAATTGAATGTGCCTCATACAAACGGTTGAAAGCTCTGAAAGGGTTGAGGACAGTTCACCGCAGCTTGGTCACCTGGGTGATCAATGCCAAGGCTGGCGGGCCTGTTGAGTGCCGATAAGATTGAGGAGAGCACGGCTTAGAACTCATGATATTCATGTGATCTTTCTTACATTGACCAGACCCTCAGATCTTACAATACAATTCAGGCTCGTAGAGTCGAGAAAGGAGGACAGATTTTACACCGAGTAGTGAGGCTGATTGAGCTAGTTGTAGCTCTAACAACAACGCCGGCTTATACTGCTGATTCCCGCCTTACATCTCCGTCATGCCGGCAGTGAAGCCTCCTGCTCGCGGATCCGGGTCCATCTTTACTGCCGGACGGGACTTGCGGACATTTACTGCTTTTGGAATTCTTGGTGAGTACACGTATTGCGCTGGCTGGTGGAGGCACCGTCGCTTGAGCCATCCATCACCAACCGCATGCAAGCTAACACCAGCTCTAGGCTTTGCGAATACGCTTCTTCCGTACATCATCTTTTCTAGCCTTTATCTCATTGTGCCCTTTTCTCTGCCTGTTGTCTTGCTGATAGAGTTGCTTCCTGCTATTGCGGTTAAGCTGCTCGTTCCACACATCTTGCATTACACGCCGCACTGGGTTTGGCCGGCTTTGCTTTCGATTTGCTGGATCTTGGCTACTATCGCTGCCAATGCCGCGCCTCCAAACGTTATTGCCCCTGTCCGAACTCTGATTGCTATACTCGCCTCGGCGAATACTGCGGTTGCTGAGGTCTTCTTCCTGAGCCAGCTATCCAATTACGGCAAGACGGCTCTGGCAGGATGGGGAACTGGGTCCGCAGCTGGCGGTGCATTGCACGCCGTACTGCCAACAATATTAACGATACACATGGGCCTTATGATGCGTAATGCTACGAGATATGTCTACTATTTGCTAGTGGCCATGGTATCTGCCTATTTCCTGGTGCTGCCTCCTCCTATGCTGGACACTATGGCAGTCAATGAATTGGCCGGGGAAGAAGAAGATACCATCGAGATGGAAAGTCCTAAATCCTCCTTGCTCACTGCGGAAAATCGCTCCCCAACGATTGGCTTCCGGGAGCGCATTCATCGCAACATACAGCTGATGAGCGGCAAGCTCCTTCGACTGTGTATAGATCCTCTTCTTCTTGTTACTGCAGTACAGGCCCTCGCATCAACAGGAACACCTCGTGCCAGTCGCAAACTACGGAGTTTCTCAGGGTACCAATCTTTTTCAGCTACATACGGTCTGGCATTCAAGATTGGAGATGTTATTGCTCGTTCAACCGCCCTGTTGTTCCGAAGCAGAAGACCGAGACTTATCTTCGCTTTGTTGGTGGTGTGTTGTCTGGTTGCCATTCTCAACACATCACTTATGCTGAGTGCAAACAAATACGTTGTACTTGGCCTTATAACTTCCATTGGTTGGCTTAGTGGAATGATGTATATGCATATATATAATGCCGCAATGGAGTATCTGAGCAGGAATCCAGACGACGACGCAGAATTTGCACTTGGAAGCATTGGAGTGGGAGAGACAGTGGGAATGTTGATTGGATCCCTTGCTGCTGTCACATTTGAATCCCAACTTTGTGGACTAGCCAGTCAAAAGGGACGGTGGTGTTCCAATATCACATAGATTGATCGAAAAGAAATCTTTCGTGTTCAAGTCTGTTTTTCGCGTTCGTAATCTCACAATGTTAAACAGGAACTAAACAGTCTGATTGCATATTGTAAGAGTAAACAATAAGCTCTGTAAGATGATATCTGCTACCATGTTTCAACATTGAGCCGCAACGTTGTCGGTTTCTATCTTTATGCGTTCTCATTGATGTGCTCGAAACAACTTCAATTGTACGTACGTACAGATTGAGTCAGTAAAGCCCATCAGTATCTAATAGAAACCATTTCGATTTTTTCTCAATGGCGAAATTGAGTTGATGATTCATCATAGATTAAACCCCTTATACAAATGTTTTATCATAGCATAGGTAGAACTAGTAGCTATGTGAAACTCCCAAATTTCTTATTCTAGCTAAGGAGCAACTAGCACACCGACCGGCTATTGGATGAGCACAGAGCTAAAGTACACCCTTTGATCAAACAATAAGGTTTCCCGAAAGACTCCAATTCTATGTATTTGTATGGCTGTGGTAAGCTCCCAGTTAATGCTATCAACAATGCCACTGAGGCTAAGATATGGGAGCCTCATCGGATTTATGGAAGGTCTTGTAAGTCACATTATCCGTAGAGCCAGATCCACTTTAAACAGTTTGGAAAAGGAGGAGAGTTTTGACCATATCTGAAACATCTTTACAGTAGAGTGAAGAGGTTTGTCTAATGTGAGATATGTATATCTGAGAAATGTGATCCCACTCGCCAAATGAACTCATATACTGCTGCGTGTCACACGTATTTTAGCTTAGAATATGTGATATGACTTCATGAGTTCTTCCTATACGGGCCTATACAAAACATTCTACTGTCAGTACATTATATCTAACGCCAGCCATAGCATCGAATGGCGAAGCCGTCATATACAAGCATCGTATGCCCTGATTATTTCGGTTGGCCAATTATCCATTCAAAGATACGTTCACCGATGTATATATGTGCTTCTAGCTAGGCGATCATTGAACCTCCAACGACGCGGCGCATATCATTTGTGCCAAATCAGAGTTTTAACCCCCATATCTTCGGTTTCATAAATTCCCGTCACTACAGCAAACCCCCATTTTTCGAGTAGCATCCTCTTGTATCTCTAGAGTTTACTATATTGAAGGCTCAAGCTCTTCATGCCTACATATGTTTATACGGCCTTCTTAATGAAGAACATGGACTTCAGCAGTTTCCAGCACTTTTCGACCTGCCTCGGACTCAAGCTATCAACTCCGTTGATTTGACATGTCAAATACAAAAAAAGGCAAAGATCTCATAACTACCACCGGATACTTCCTTCCCGGATGACAACATATTGCGCTAAAACCGGCCATGCGCACCTCTTCATTTACAAACCCAAAGGAGGGTCGAATTAAACATGCAAAGATATCCCTTTTTCATTTGTCGGAATCAGTTCGGATTTTACTTTAGCTTCTTCCACACCAGATGAAACCCTATGCTGACGGGTGCCCGTTTGTCTGGATCCAAGCGTAAGATCATGCACCCTCTTTGAAAGGCCCCGGATACCGGTGGCATTGGCTGCATACGAATATAATTACGATTACCAAACTTTTTTGTTAATTGGGTGGATAAGAGAATGCAGGGCAGTTTAACGGTTTATATTGCAAAGCTTTGTTCCGATCGGGACCTGGATCAATCTGGTAGATGCCCACAATATCCTGTCTTTATAACGACATGTAAGAGCTGCCTAGGTAGCCTCACGCCCGTTCGGTCTATGAGTAAGATGTGACAAGTATGGCACCAAAATATCATGTATTACCGGCAATTGGAGCACTTTCGGGCGTAGGTATAACATGGCATACACGAGAGATACGCCATCTTGGCATGTTATTTGTTGATTACTATACCTTCCAACCTTTGCCACGTATACTCGGCCCCGAGACTAAATCCAGTCACCGAGAAGCTTGTATGGGAGTGAAAATGGAAACAGCATCACCCCTTTGACATTGCACTCCACAATCTTCTAGCGGCCGCAATCCGGGGGACAACGGCTATAAGTGACAAATCATAAATGCATTTTACAAAGGTGTTACTCATATGATAATGTAAGTTTCACATGCCAGAAATCTGAGCATGGTCATGCGATCAAGAGTGTGAATGTCAGGCATGATCCTCTCTTCCTTAGATATGTTTATTGCTATATTCATCGTGACCCATGGTTTTGGGCTCGAATATCCTTCTTGGCTCCTTTTGGTGAAGTATGATTCAGATGGTATCTCGTTAAACTGTGTAAATTGTTTAAAGAGATCTAGTCAGAGGATTCATAGAATGTCGCGGATTTTTTTCCCTTAATGTCCGACGCCATCTTCTTGGTTCTAAAGATACCGACCGCTCTCGCAAAAGACCTATACACTAGCATACAACAGGTCTACACTGGTAGCCTAAAGAAGATAAAGCAGGGTTTGCTGTCTGCATGGGTTCGTGGAATGGGGTAGGACTCCTTCGGAGGTTAGCGACGTGTACCTGGATTTGAAGCTTTTTTATTTCCACACTGCCGTGTAAGTCCTTAATAGGGTGTTCGCATGTTCGCGCTCAAATGAGGAGCAGGTCAGCAACGCCAGTATCTGCTGTAGTATACACAAGGATTGCTGGTCAAGCAACCGGCTAACCAGGCATGAAACTTGTTTTTGAAGCTGTTGATGTTGATCGTGTCCACGTCTGGCCGGTGATGGGTTGCCAGCTTCAAGCGACTCATAGGCCATTAAGAATTTCCACATGAGTCCCGTTACACAGCATTGAGGTTTAAACTAAACCAGTTGTGCCTGCGTGGAATGAGTATGGCTTCTTTGTCGCAGATCATTGCGGGGTACTATCACAACCGAGATGGTTCGGACAAAATCGAATACCGAACATGACAGGTATCAACGGGATAATTAGTCCGAAGGCAGGCTAAAGGGAAAGAAGGTTCCCTTTCCCCTATTATCTCGAGAAAAAACATACGAGTTTTCATAGTCCTGCCATAGCCAGCACCGTCACTCTGCAGGCTTGGCAGCTTCAACTGTGTTCCGATTGGCCTCTACGCTGCTACACGCCTGGGCTAATGTGCTTCTCGGCAGCCCCGACATTGTGATGCAAGTACTCATAAGCGTTAAATACTGCTGCGGGTGAGCAGTAGCCCCCAGAGTTGGAATGCGCACACAAGACTCGTCGTCTTCCAATCCAAACAGTGTTGTCACCATCAATTTTCTCCCGTGAGTCAGTTGCACTCTTTGCGGCTGAATTTAGTGGCACTTCTGAGGTCTCATCTCCGCCTTCTAAACGGTCATTTTACTTCTTTTGGGAAACCAAGCTGGTCACCTCTTCCTTGCATTAACTTCTAGCCTTGAAGGAGCACTAAGATTCCTGTGAGCCTCCAGCTACGGCGAATTTTCTAGCTAGGCTATTTCCTACATTCCGAGTATCTCACCTTCTTGACGAGTCGATACAAGGATTCGGCATTTATACGGTACCTTGCTATGGTTAGACACCACCATCCACTTTGACTTCGGTATAGGAATCTCTTTCTCACCACCTCGTTAGCTCTGTTCCCTCACTGGCAACCTGTCTGCTATATCCACCTATCATCAGCAACTCTTGTTTGCAGGGGGCATACTCGTGGACCATGTATATGGTACAGCGTAACCTGGGTACTTAGTTTGCATCTGACTGGCGGACGATCTTCCTCTCAAAGAGATAAAGTGTAAAGTTTACTACTCATCCTTTGGATCTAAGCGGACTGGTGGGGGATGCAGTCTGTCAACCCTCCAAACGGTTTTCTTCACTACGTCCACACCATCAGAAGCCCCCTCCAATCCTAGCGACTCCGAACCAAAGGCGTCATTGAATGGTTCACATGAGCCCAAGAATGAAGCGGAAGACTGGGGAAAATTTTCACTTGCAGATACTATGGCCCTCCTACTTGTGATTACAAGCCTTTTAGTTTCACTTTTGCGGCTCAAAGGGAGGAATATTGGGTATCTGGTGTGTATCACAGCCATGGCGGGGGACCAAAACCAACGCGGTACAAGGAAATCTGTTAGGGAGCATCCCCGCTATTGCTCGTGTACGGAGTGCAATTCCAATTTTTTTTTTTTTTTTTTTTTTTTTTTTTTTTTTTTTTTTTTTTTTTTTTTTTTTCTCGTATTACAAGACTGCAGTTGGTGTTGGGAGCTGCAGCTGTAATTACTTGCCTAAGAAAGAGAATAATAAAATATTGAATCATTGCTTTATTCTGAAATCTGCCGCNCATCCAGTTCAGCACTGCAGTTGGTGTTGGGAGCTGCAGCTGTAATTACTTGCCTAAGAAAGAGAATAATAAAATATTGAATCATTGCTTTATTCTGAAATCTGCCGCTCATGACTCGGTCTTTTTATCCGCCAATTCTGGTGGCCCCACTTCCCTTATCCGCTCAACGATAATTGGTCCATGTATCAGGTTGATTTCCTAATTCGGCAATCTCCCGCGTTCGGCAGTTGAATCCGCAGAAGCAAGCAAATACATCATGATATGAGGAACACATATGCTCCCTCTGTGCAGCTCTATATATGTTTTTATATGAATTTTCTTTCTAAATTGGCTGGAAATCATGTTGATATAACTTATAAAAAGTCTGAGTACTTCATATTTGGTAATGAAAGCACTGAACCCACTGTAAATCAACCACGTGTCCGACCTATCTTGCCACCGCATCACCATTCAACTTCCGGGCTTCTTTGGCCCCCGTGCATGCACAAGTTAATAGTTTGAAGTAGGCGACGTAAATGGGCCTAGAAATACTCGCCATGCATGTCACACGTACATATTTTTCAGGTCCCGTGGCAAGCGATGTTGCCCCCACGCAGAATATTCGTATGGATACTCCAATTGCAATCGTGTATCAACAAAAAAGAGTCAGCGACGCTGTGTAGCTTGTTTCAAGATTTTTTTCCCGAGCTCTGTCGACATTCTCTAGATTGGTCTCCTGCCCCACCTGTGAAATA